ATACATCGAGAGCTTGTCTTTGTTAAATTGCCTACAGATCAGTTTCAGGGTGAAAATGCAGTTATAACAACAGAAAGATTGTTGAGCTGGACTGAATAAAACTCCACACTATGAAAAGCTGATACGCCTCATTTCCAAGTAAAATTCAGTAGCTGTCAGGAGCCAAACAACCAAGGATGTACAGGCACAGGCACACTTTCTAAAATGCAGGTTTTATTATGCCCCCCAAAAGATGCAGATAATATCCAAGAAACATAACCATGAAAATAGGCTATTTTAAGAAAAAGTGTAAATAAAAAAACAATCCTTCTCATGGCGTCACAGCAGATGGTTAATTCGATTTGGTTGGTCTCTGCACTTAAACCATTTCCACTCCCAAGCCACCCACAGGCTGGAGCAGCAGACAGGTAGCAGATCAGCTGCGTGGCTGTGGATGTGGCCAAAACCAGAGCTTCACTGATACCTTACAAATGAAAACATGTAATTGGGCCCATCAGGAACTGAATGCTAAACTTAGCTTATAGTAGAAAACTTTAAATGATGTTTAAAAGCGTTTTATATTCATGTGATGATGTAGTTATAAAAAACTGTCACACCTCCTAACAAATGAAATCATCTTACCCATTTAGGAAATGCATTTTGAAGCTTAAACCATTAAATAAGATGACGTCACTCTACGGTTGTGTTTCAGGTGCGTGAAGGGTGAAGGTGAGATCGAGAAGCTCCAGGCCAAAGTGGTGGAGCTAAGGAGGAAACTGGATGACACGACGGCTGCCATGCAGGAGCTCGGCAGAGAGAACCAGTCGCTTCAGGTCAGCACCAAAACTCAGAAATTCTAAAATAATGAGATGATGAAAAAGGAGGCTCTTTATCATAGCGATAAAGTTAGACGTTGTCTGATTGTGCCAGCTTCTGTTGATCCTTTTAGATCAAACAGTCACAGAGTCTGACCAGAAAGTGGGCTGAGGATCATGAAGTGCAGAACTGCATGGCCTGTGGGAAAGGCTTCACCGTCACAGTCAGGAAGGTGGGTATTATTTTTGTTTTTAACCCATAAGAGAGCACGTTTGAGTCGTTCCTTACCCTGAGCCTCTCTTCTTCTCTCTGAATGTCCAGCACCACTGCAGACATTGTGGAAACATCTTCTGTGCCGAGTGTTCGTCAAGGAACGCCCTCACTCCATCCTCTAAAAAGCCAGTACGCGTGTGTGAGACATGCTTCGAGGAGCTCCAAGGCTGATTTTCTTTTGTTTTCCCCCCTCTCATTTCTTTAACCCTACTTACCCGCCCACTCCTACCTCCCCCCATCCCTACCCTACCCTTCCCTTCATCCCTACCCTACCCTTTCTATTCCAATGGGCAGAAGAAGGCATGTCTTTGTCATTTTTAATGTGCACTATAAAGGACAGACGCTGTGCAAAGACTCCCACCTGAATGTGACCTCTGACTCTGGTGTGGAGGGTAACGAGGAAAGGATTTTTGCTGAGGAAACACCGGAGCCGTGCGATGGGTCGGGGTAGGACTGGTTGGGATTGTCTGTATCTGTTTTTGTGCCTTTGCTACTCCTGTGGACTGCCAGAGAGCGGAGACAGTGAAAATCAAAACACCTACCATTTCTTTTAAGTTCGTATCCCACTAGTAAGTTATAAGGCATACGTTGTGAAATGTTTGGCATCATATTTGTTAAGACACTGCAAAAGTGAGTATTGTAAAAGTGATGTTGTAATCTGCCCTGCAAAGGTAAATGCAGTTAACTAGTATTTGCTTTTTATCGCTACAAAGCTCTGCAGCAGGCCCATCACAAAGATATGTGAGTTCTAATTTTGTTGCAAGAAAACTCTTAAAAACGTAAGCAATCTTGCATTTTTGTATACGTCACCTCTCAAAGTGTAAAAAAAAAACACGCACACACTTAGTTGCTGGCAAAACGAGGCTGTGAAACCCTGTCGGGTTCAGGATTTCAGCAATCTATAAAAATAAGTTGTCTACAACACTGTGCAGTGGAAATGATTAAACATCCTTCTAGGGATTTTTAATCTTAAAAATCAGAAAAACCCTCCGTCAAAAGACTTGTGCACCAGCGTGTTTCTGTACAGACCTTCGGATCAGTTACTGCGCGTTTCCTTTGTGCGGCAGAGCGTTTGTGAGTCTGTTGGATTTAATGTATTCATGACCAAAGAATGTGTGCAGCAGGAATACAGCCGAGGTCTAAGCCCTGACTTTGTTTCATTTATCAGTATTTTTCGACGTGTCGTCATTTTTAAGTCACGGGGTTGCATATTTTTATCTTGAAAACGGCATATGTGGCAATCTGAGAGGCTTTTTTTTTACGTGAAGTCGTGTTTTTGTTTTGTTGTGTCCTGTGCCACATTACTCTTAACGTGTTATTTTCTTCAAATCGTGGTGCTTTCTGCAGACTTAAAGGTGCCTGCATGTTAACTTTTTTTTGTTCCTTGCTGCTTGTCTCCACTCAGCAGCACTGACCTACTGGCTGGAGTTGTGTGTTTTTGTATGCGTGTTCTGCTTTCAAGCAATAACTGTGGAGGCGCGTGTGTGTGTGTGTGTGTGTGAAGTTGCTGTAACAGAGTGTGTATTTTAGTGTTAGGCCTGCTGTGTATGCTGAAATGCACTGTATGAATGTCGGCTGCTCAGAATCTCAGCTTCTCTCCGGCATGTTGCTCTTGGGGGCTTCGGTGCTGCTTTCAGGAGCAGCGGTTGCTGACGGCTCTCTGTCCAACGTGTCTGCTGCTGAGGACAATGTCAAAGTTGATTCCTGCTTTGTTTAATTTATAATTGTTGATCGCTCCTGGTAAGATCTTTTGTGCAGTTGTCAGTAGACTGGAGAAGGTCACGATGTAACAAGCAGCTTGCTTCAGACTTACTACGTTAGCTCTTATGCTTGTATGCTCATTACAAAAGAATGTCTGTCTCAGTTGCCATCTTTCAAAAACACCAGTCTTTTTGCTTCAGTGGTTTTGTTATGTCTACCTCAGATTGGCCCAGGAAAAGCACTATTTCTAAATGATAGACATCACAAATGTTGTATCTCTGCCTGCATTCGATGAGGGATTTTGTGACTGATCTATTATAGTGTACAGACCCGAAACTCTACAGAGATGATTTGCACCTTATCGTATTCTGGGCTTGTCCGTATGAGAGCTCAGCTACAAACATAGGACCACCGACTTTATACAGGCTTCGGCATTTCTAGCACCGCTGTACTCAACTGCTCATTAATACTAAGGCTGTCATCTTTGTAAATGTTTGTAATGAAAGAGAAAAATAAAATCTATATAACACTCGTGGGTGTAGAAACATGATAACGGTGAAACTGTGTGGATTCATCGGCGTCTTACTCATTTTTACCAAACGGCACCACAAACGTGAAGACACTGAATTGTGGCTTGCTTTGTGTTGCTCTCACTTATCATGCATGATGACTTTACTGGCCTGTGGCTCACACGTTTCTCCATTGTTTAGTCATCATATTTGGCGGTTGTGAAAGTGTGTTTTCACGCAAACATCCTGCACGTCACCGCTCGCCTTTAGCAGCGTCGACGTGACTTTGGCTCACTGAAGCTGGATGAGGGAAGTGATTTATGTTCACATGCACCAGATGATTTTTCTAATTGTCATGGCAAACGTAAAATAAAACCTGCAGTATGTTTGTATCTTACCGTGTCATGTTTTTGTCGCTTTGCAGGAATGATTCTCGAAGCCTCTAAAAGCGCTGAAGTTTGAGAAATGCACACAGCACCAACAAACAGCAAATGACTGAGAGAGCAAATCACATCTGAACCCGATGTTCATTCAGTGAACATTTCCCACTACACTGATTAATCAAGTAGTTTTTTAAATGAATTCTGGATGTTCTTCCATGCTGTCTCAAATATCGAATCCATGCTGTGATAAAATACAGAAAGTCTGAAACCACCCCTCATTTCTTTATATTTTGCTAATATAATTAATATTCTTCCTCTTCCAGGCTTTCTGGAGGTCTTTCAAAGTTTTCCTAATTTTCAGTCCTGTCCTTGAACCTGACAATTCAGACAGTTTTTTTTTTGTTAAGGAACTTAAGAGTGTGCTATGAATCATTCAACCATAAAAAGGGCTGAACCAGTGTAGTATCTACAGCTTGCAGACTACTTGGAACTTGGCATATCTTGGATGCTGTGCAGTATGTCCTTAAAAAGATGAGTGGATGACAAAAGAAGAACAGATGGAAAATCCAGCAAATACTGGATCTGGCACTGGTCTCAGGTCAAGGGTGGCTGTCAAGAAGCCATTATTAAGGAAGGCAAACAGATAGAAAATGAGTGGTAACGGGTCTTGAATCCAAATTTTCTTTTAGTTTATACGTATTGATGACAATTTGAAAGGAGCTCAGGAGAGAGGAGCGGCAGTGAAGGTCCACAGCCATCTTTAAACCACGGTGGAGGCTGCATTTCAGCCTGTGGTGTCTGAGATCTTGTCAGAATTAATCGTACATGTATTATAAATGCAGGAAAAAACCATCACCACCATCTGCTATCCAATAACACCTGGAAAGCATCTAATTGGCAACGGCTTCATTTTTCAGCATGACAATGATACATACTGTCAGTGCAGTAAAACCATACCTGGATATAAAAACAAACCTGGACCTCAACATTACTAAAGCAGTGTGGGATCGTCTGCACAGAAAATGAAACAAAAGTGAGAAACATCAAAAGAAGAGCCTTGAATGTCTTTCAAGAAGCCTGGAGAACTGTTCCTGGAGGACTGTAAGAAGTTACAAAAAGCGTGCCTAAGAGATCAAGCTGCAGTGGTCATGCTAAACTTTCAAGCTCTTTAGAATGCACCTATATCCTATTTTTAAAATATTAAATAATTAGGGGGGGCTGAAGACTTTTGCACAGTACTGTATGAAGCACTATGAAACATCAGAAGTGATCAATAGCTCACAGACAATTTAAAAACTGCATGAAATGATGTGTGGAATGCTAAACCCAACGTTTTACTACATGATGAGATGTTTATTTCACACTACTGTAGCAGCTGCCTTCACAGTCAAACAGTTTACAAAATCATCCTAGTGCTAGTGCAGTCATTTACAAGACATCAGGGGGCAGTGAAGTGCACATTAACAGTAGAAACTTTTTCACATGGCTTCTAGTTCTGCTTGATGGGTCATATCTGCGAAGACTCCAGCCACAGCGAGGAGCTCTTTACTCGTGTCTGCTGAGAGTCCTGCTTCAGCAGCGCCGTCACTGCGCCCTCTATCTTTGACATCCATACTCTCTGGTGGGGAAAAAATGTTTAGAAAGAGAAATATCAGATTTACCAGTTTGAATAACTGATAATATTATAAATTGTATAGCTTATTATTTCTTTGTAATGTTTGTTGCTGTAAGCTGTCCTAAACAGCTTCACACAAGTAAGATTAAACAATACAGCAATTTATTTTTATTTTCCTATACATTGTTCATCTAAACCAAAATAACAGAAACCTTTAAAAAGATTAAATGTATAGCTATGAATTTTTTACTATAAATAAATCTGAACAGACATGCATACAAACTGAATTTAGAAATCATTTAAAATATTTTAGCTTCACTTTCAGGGCTCTGTAGAGTTCACATCTTGCACTGATGTTTTGCACAAGGCAGAAATGTTTGGATAAACTTATGACACATTGTTCTTCTGAACATAATGTGATCTGTGTCCTGCATGCTCTCTTTGGAAACATTTCAGGTATTCACAGTTGAATTGATCTACCTTGACAGCCTCTGACGCAGCTTGCAGGATGAATGCACCAATACACTGTTGGTAGCGGTTCTGGTGCATTACTATGAAAGAATGAGGCAACCCCGATGCTGTCAAGAAAGTACAAATGCTTTCATTTAATAACACCAATGCACCACATGGCATGCAAACATAAACAGAGAGACGTGATCCAGAAGGATATTTTGATTCTGTTGACTGCTTTGCTACGATGTGCTACAAACATGTGTTCTATTAAAAATGGGTTTAGAGCTAGAAAACTCAATTAGTTGAATCTTAAAAATTTTACTTACAGGAGGCATTAAGTTGATCGATGCTTCTAAGTTGGAGTCGATCCAGAGAGATTGGCTGGTCGAGAACCGTGAAGGTGCATCCCTCCTTCAGCATCTGATCCAGCTCCAGGTTTTTCAGAGGATTCTGCTCTGGACCTACGGACCTCTGCACAGGATGTCAGGACATATATATGAAGTTATGAGGGATATGTAGTTAAGGCATCCTTGCACTAAATATCTATCACAAGCCTAGGTTAGAGTGAGCAAAGGTTAAAGCGTGACCCACCTTCTTGTTTCTCTTCATCTTTGTAATCAGCAAGAATTCATCAAAGAGGAACATATAGACGTCTATGAGCTTTGCGTTCTCTGGGAATTAACCACAGAAAGACGACGTAAAGTTTTTAGTCAATTCGAAGCAGGAAGCGTGTAAAATGTGTTGGATTTATGCCAGCTGACACACCTGTGAGGACGAGTTTCCCTTCATGCAGCAGACTCCTGTGAGAAATCAGATTATCCAGTGTGACAGCCTTCAGAAGATGTTTCAGATTCTAAAAGAAAGCAGGGAGTCACATTAGAAAACATTTTCACCTTTTAGCGCTTTTCAGACACATCGGTCTTTCCATTAATCTGACAGCAACTCAGCATGTTGGCTTCTGAATGAGCACCCTGGCCCTCTACTAGTAACATGTACATATCACTTTAAGCATGGCACGTCTTAACTGCATACTATTGGATTAATAAATAGGTATGCGCATGATAGCGAAAGAGCAAGTCACTCGTGTCTAATTTAAGATGCATCTTTGGTATTTCAAATGCAGATGAGCTGTCTGTGTGAGGGCTACAGGTAGCTGCTGCAAACAGGTAGCACACAAAAACAAACACGTTCACATAAACAGATGACAATGACGGAAAGAACTAAATGTTCAAAACTGTGGTCACATTTAACTACAGTTACATGCTGACACTACCAGTACCACGGGTGCAAATAAGTATTGTCAGCACTGACGATAGTTAAATGCTCACAATACTTATATGCAACAAGTCATTTACATGTATGACTTACACATCGCAGCTCTCTACCACTGCTATCTGTGTTCACTTCAGTTCAGGTTTGTTTATATAGCACCATATCACAATAGTCCTCCTCAAGGCAATTTATACTTTACTATATAACTTGCAATGTAAAAGCAAAGACTACAACAATTATACAGTCCCCCTATGAGCAGGCACTTGGGAAAAGCTTTCTTTTAACAAGAAGAAAGCTCCGGATCAGAACCAGGCTCACTGAGGGGCAGCTATCAAGGAACTGGTTCATGGTGAGGAGAAAGAGAAGAGAAAAAACTGACAGGACGAAACACAAATTTCGGAAGAGAATGTGTGTCACAGTGTACGACAGGAAATCTCCCAGAAGCCTGTAGCAGCAAAACTATAGCAGCAACTATAAGTTAACTTTTCAAAAAGGAATGTTTTAATCAGTTTAGAAGGTATCTGTCTTCCAAATACAAACTGGGAGGTGGTTTCACAGTAGAAGCTCTTTCCCCATACAACTGTTGGGTGGGCTGGTCCCATTAAAACAAAAGGGAAAAAAATAAGTGCATTTACACACATGCAAGTTTCTCTCCTCTGGTGTCTGAGTCTTTCTGTTTCACAGCGTGCTCTGCACCTGGATGACAGACTTATTACCTTAGTATAAGTGCTATGAAATCAAGCTATTCATTAACTGTCTTCCTTTCACTGCTCTCACTTACACCAAGTGTTTGCTACTCTTTCTATTTCGCTCTGTATGCAAAGCCCATTCCCTTGCCACATGTACGGCAGAGAGAAAGTGAAGATAAAATAACTACAGATGAAGAGAATACAAACAGAAGTGTTAATCCACCTACAATGACAGGGAAGAAAGACTCTCTTGGAAAAAAGAAGAAGAAGAAGAAGAAGAATAGTGCTGCTGTCATCCTCCCATTCAAATTGAAGCTAATATTTAAAGATGTGAAACTGAACTATTATCAAATGACACTGTAAAACTCTAAATACTGCTATTCATTGCTTTCAGATCTGATTTTCTGATAATTTGATCAGTTTATCTGATGATCATCAGGCACTGGAGGATAAAGTGTTGGCACATCTGTGTGACACGTTGCTCTTTCAACACAGTTCCTGAAGACACAAACACACCCAAATAGCAATATATACACAAACACAGGACAGACCTCAGGGATGAAAGCACGCTTGTCCCTCTCCCATACAGGCAGCCAAACCAGGGCATCTCTCAACTGTTTCACTTTCTGGTAGTTATCCAGCCATTTGACCTTTCCTTCTAAATCACCTGTAAACAGAGAGGACAGGAGACTGAATGTCATTAAGGACAAAAACAGGTCCTCAGACTCAAATTGGTCACTGACAACTTCATTCATGTCTGACACGTCACACAAAACTCCTGCTACATTTCCTATGCCTTTTATTTTACGTAACATATACCTATGTAAAATATGCATTTTATAATGTACCAAAGTGCATAATGATTACATTCATTTATAATGCTATACAGTGATGCCATACATGGGCGTGACCATATCGTGAGAGATTTCAGCTGTCTCTGCTTTTGCAGTAAATATCCCCCACACCCACAGAGGACTTTGGTCTACACATCCTAGCTGTGATTACAATACTCATTGTCACCTACGCTTTACACAATCATAACCTTTTAAAAGGTGTGGTAAAACACACCTTTTTAATGGTTATGGGACAAGGTTTAATTAAAGATTTCTGAACCCCGAGCAGTTTCGTTTGGTACGGTTATTTGTTCAACGCGGCAACATGACATTGAGTTGAACGGCTGTAGAACATTTCCCACAGCCTGTCCTTCCAGTTATATAATAAACCGCCAAAACAGGTCTGCAAGCAGAGGCTTGCAGTGAAAAATAAATGGTCAAGGCCTCCTGGCTGATATCCAAAGCATGCAACCTGTGTGCTGACAGGCACTGATACTAGCTGGCCTGTTTATGTTGACAGACTTACGTCCACTTAAAAAGCCCTTCTATCTAGATATGTTTGTAAACCACCAGGAGGCAAACACGTCGTGCTGAAGAAACACCTGAGTCATGATCAGCTGATTAACATTACTCAGACGCCTGACTCAAAACATTCATTTTGCAAGGTGACGAGACCTGTGCAGGCGCTTTAATTTAGCAGGACTGAAACAGTAAAAGCAAATTTAGCCAAGCAGAGTCTCCTAATGAGGTCAGCCAAAATCAAAAGGAGAGCATTTTGATAACAGAAGGGAATTTTCGAATTCAGTGCTCACATATCGATTTATCCACTTGTTCTGCTATAAGTTCCAGCCCTCGGGCTTCGTCCTCCTTCTGACATCTCTTTGCGATATTCCGCAACAGCAGCGGGTATCGAGTTAGCCTCTGCAGCGGTGCCACCAGCAGGTCACGCAGGTGAAGCCTTCGGCACTGCTTGCTCCTCTCACACCACTGAGGAGAAAAAAGGAGGGACAAAGAATGGGTACAGTGACAGAACGAGTGAGGTCAAATGTTTGAAAGGACTTGACTTTGTAGGGAAGGAGGGAGAGGATGGGCAGTGAAATGCCTGTGAGAAGAAATTATATGTAAGACCAAACACAGTGACAGTTCCAGCAAACACGCCAGCATGATGACAGGGAAAGTTACACAAGGTACAAACGGTGACATTCCTCCCATTGGCAGGCTGCTGTGACACTGAACTGATTGTTTGCTATTTGGGCACCAATGCTCCTGTGAATCCTCTCTCACATTGGCACACAACACCTGCTGCATTGTCATGGTACACAGCGTCCTTCCCACTGTGCTGACTGGCACGCTCACACACACACAGACACACACCAGTAAGACCTCTCCTGTACCTTCACGTAAGTCCCAAAGTCCTCTCTGGGCTTCAGACTGTCCAGATACAGAAGAGCCGTGGAGTAGTTGAGGCAATACGTCTGCAGGCAGTGGCATATGCTCTCCTGGAAAGCCTGCCAGCAGACAGTAGTGTTAGACAAACACCGGGATACAGGCTGCTGGGTCGCATCAGCTGTTAAGCTGCAGATAAACATATCGTAAAAAAGCACAAAGAGGATGCCGCATGCACACATGCACGCACAAAAATGTCCAGTGTGTGTTTGTAATGGCATACATGCGTCTAAGATTGTCCTGTGATGTTTCTGTTAAACTTTTAATAATTTTATGTAATTGTAACTAGAGTTAGGTAACCTTTTCCCTTCTCAGCGAGCTTTGAAGATGCCATATTTTCAACACGCTCTTGTCATGAGAGAAAGGAAGATGGAACAGATAATAACAAAGCACATACGTAGATTTCAAAGTACAGTTTAAATGCAAGCGTGCTAAATTTGGTCAGTGAGAGCATCGTGAAAGAAAGAAAGTAAATTCAGCTGTATATTTGTGTTCTCATAAAAACATCTGCATTAAGGGGACACTTTCCCGGGCACTAGTTATCACACTTGATTATTGGGCTATAAGACTGTGTGGAATCTGTTTGTCCATGTGGGCAGCTAGAAATCTAGTCCAGCTTGAAGCTGTCGATTTTAGAGCAGGAGCTTCTCTCAGTCCATGGTGTTGTAAAACGCTTGTGCAGTTACCAGTTCATAGCAGGCTGGAGCCTCGGTGGTTCCTAAGTTGTTCTTGAACATCCTAAACAAATTCCTCTCATGTGGCTATGCTTAAAGGCCAGGTATGTGCCAACAGACCAAGCAATTTAAATGAACTCAAATTCCACCCTAACGAGCGAATAAATATCTGTATGTGCATTTTTAATCCCGTGTGGATTAGAGAAAATCCAAAATAAAGTCCAACTTGTGTACCCAGTTCTTGTTTTGTGAAGTCATTAAAGATATATGCTATACAATCAGCCTACCCTGGAAAATGAACAGTCCAAAGAAATCATAAAAAATTACCAAAAAATGATCAGTGTACTTAAATGTTTGACCTCAACTGTACAAGAATATTACATTTTGGCTTTTCTGCACATTATATCATAGTCCAGCTGATCCTTAATAGCTAGAAGAAAATAAGAATGCTTCCCAAATAAGAGCTTAAGGTTAATAAATTCAAACTATGCAGCTATTTTTCAAGTCTTTGAAAAAAAAAAAAGCTGTTTATGAAAATACTTTAAGGATTATATAATAATTAATCCAGATGAGCATATCATTCATACTTTTTCTATCTATTTTGATTGTCTTATCAGCGGGCTAGTGAACACTGCTGTCACAGAGTCCAAATGTGAATCAAACTTGCCTTCCCCAGCAGATCCAGCAGGGTGGGACTGCCACCCTCAGTAATCTCCAACATGTTCTTGATAACGCGGAGGAGGCTGTTTAGGAAACCTGAGCTCACCTGGAGCAGAAAACAGTGTCAAATGTCACCACAGGGCCATGTGACATTTTCATAATATCACCGAGGTATTATGTTAAGATAATTGTTAACAAAGGTTTTTTACACCACATTATTTTTTTGCTGACCATTAAATAAAAAGCTAGCATTTTAAAATAATACAGCTGTAACGACTCATCATTAGCTCTTTCATAGTAACCTTATGTTGATGTGACACCAAACCATGTTGTTTTAAGGATATGAAAGCAACTGTTGTTAAAAATGATTTACACAAACTCCTCATGCAAATGATTTGCATCATTTCTCACCAGGCAAAGCTCATTGAGATTCGCAAACAGCCTCCATGAGTCGATATCAGTCAGGCAGTTGGTCACCTGCAGGTTTGTGAGCGTAGCCGAAAACACCTGAGAGGCACAAAGAAAGCAGAAAGAGAATAGGTTCATGCCAGCATTAAATTTCAAATCCACTGGTGGAAAGACGGGAAAATCCAAAGAGAATTTTACACGAACTCCAAAGGCGGGAATTCAGTGAGAAGAATACAAAGAAGCAGGTGTTCAGTTGCATTTGGGTTTGGTCTATTTATTTGTGATCCTGTGTGTGTTTTTGTGATTGTGTGTATGTGTGCATTGTGAGGCTCTGTAGGGAAAGAGTCACCTCTTTGAGAACCATGAGTTGATCCATGAAGTAAACACACTCGCTGGTGAAGAGCTCCCAGATGGTCTCTTGTCTCTTGAAGCCCTGCGGGTCAGAGGAAGCACTGACCTGGGAAGACTGGTCTTGAAGGAACTCAGCCAGAGAGTAGTCCTGCTCACAGATACACAAAAAGACAAGAAGCTATAACTCAAAGTAAAGGCTGCATCCTCCACAGAAATCTCAGCAAACGTGTTTATTTTATGGCTGTAAATTTCCATCTGCCACTATTATAGATTCAGGAGTACATCAGTGTTTGTTTGTGTACATATACAGGTCGACTTGTGTAGTCACTGCCTAGAAATTCTGGTTCTTACACAGTCTGTGTCATTCAAACATTGTAGGAGCTTCCATATAACTGTCAGCTTCTCATTTCTGAGTCATCTGGCAAACACTGAGTTGTATTTGACTTGGGAATCTGGATGGCTAAGCCTGGATCACAAAGTCAGTGAACGTACAGAACCAACACGATGATTTACAAAACAAACAGCAGCTAATAGCGCTCATTTCTTGCCTTATATCTCTGAAGCTCCAAGTTTCTCCAGTCTTGAATCTGCGCAGTTGAGAGATATTTCTCAATATCTGACACCGTGCATGTCTGCGGCTTGCCTTTACTCTGAAAGGAAAAAAGAAATTAGGCAACACATTAGGCAGATTTTTAGGGCTGTGCACTAGCCAAGAAAAAAGGGTGTGTGCCTAATTGTTGTTAATATCTGTTCACATAACAACCCAGCAGTTTCAAAACTAAATTAACAAGTTTGGCTCAAGTTCTGCATTTCAAGTGTTGACCAATTACAAAAAGCTGTGTGGGCCAAAAGGGATAAGAGGAAACACACTAATCTGCTTTGGGAAGTGGGTCAGAGAACAATGTCCAAACCAATTGCTCACTCCTAAAACAAAGTACATCAAAACAAATTACAAGCATGCCACTGGCACCAGTCACACACATCGATGACTAGCAGAAATACAAATGCACTTACCGTACTACGCCTCGAAAAAGGCCACTTTGACTTCTTGGTATCTGTAAAAGTTGTGACAGTGAAAAGAAGCGTGAGCATTTTAAGTTATACGCACATGACAGTGCCAATCACAGCTTACTAAAAATGTCAAAAAAATCTTTTGTTTTTTGTAAAGTGACCACCACAAGTTCTGTCCTTTTGCTTTTTTTAAATTCTAGAAATACAAATAATGCTCCCTTTACAACACAACAACACTAGACTGATGTCTACTCATAACTCTATATAGCACTTTCTACAGATTATCTCTAGTCTGTCTGTTTTATAGGTGTGTAGATAAAGTTATAAACCACACTTTTAGTAAAGATGTAATAATAAAATAAGATATAACTTACAATAATCTCGACTTTGAATAAATTTAATGCTATAAAACCATTACCTTCATTATAAAAAAGTAATTATAATCATTAATGAACTTAGTTTGAGGTTTGAAATTCAGCTAAAAAAAACAAACTTTTATTAAAGTACTAAATTAAACATTTAGTCAAAGTAGCTTTCAAGTATTTCAGTAATCAATAATGGTGGGGGAAAAACATTTTGCAGTATTTTTGTAGTATTTTTACTTGCATCTAAACAGGAATACCAAATAAATATAATTTAGTCATAAATTTAAATAGTCTGAGAATACTATAAACAGGAAGGCTCATCTCATGCACCATCATCTGACATAACGTTAGCCAAGCAAACTTAATTGATATCAAAGTGATTAGCAGATTGACTCTGCATTAGGGTAACATTTATGGGAGGTTTTATTGATGGTGTTGGTATGCTTAGCAACCTCATTTTGCAGCCAAAAAACATAAGTGAAGTGAGATAACTTTATCTTTGTGTTACTGGATAAAACAGGTACGGATGTAATTAGCAGATACTCAGGATATCGCATGCCTAAAAATTGCGATGATATTGTATGGTGGCGTGCCTGGTGAGTCCCACGTCTAAAAATAAAAAATTCATGGAAATTCATAAAGTAAACTGAAAAAAAAAATCTAACTGTTGTGCACACATTTGAGTCGATCACCATAACAACAAGAAAGGACACGATACAACCAAGCAGGAAGCAGGAAGTTCATTTTGCTGTGAAGCATTACAACAATAGACATATTGACTCAATAACAGACCCATACTAGTTCATGAGCAAGCATCACCTAAACAGAGGGCAGACTGCAATCTGCTGGGACTGACAGAGGTACCTGCGAAGTTTGAGTCATTTAGTAAGTCAGCTGCTCCATTGGACACGAAAAGATCTCCTGGAGAAACATCCAAGCCGGGCAAACTCACGACGACGGAGCTCCGTCTCCTCTGATAAAGCCTGAGGACACAAAAGCGGACAGGTGGACAATTTAAGATGGAAAAAAATCCAAATACGCTAACAAAGAAAAGACAAAACAACCAAAAAAAAACAAAAACTAGTTCTTCATACTAAGAAGAAAAGCTCATCAGACATCAGAAATGTACAGTTCAATGATTATTACTCCATTGTAAGTGTATTATATTCTAAAAGAATGGAAATCATACAAGCAACAGGAAATTACAGAATTCCTATTTGTGGTTTTACATTGTTGGGATACCACTGAAATACCATCCGCATTGTGCAGCAACCCGGCGATTAACATAGGATAAGTGTTATGTGTCTGGTTATCCGTGGATAGATGCTTGTTAATGGATCGCCCTATTTGTGTGGAAGGAGGCAAGCTGTCAGTGTGTGCCAGTTATAATCCGCTTGGTCTGCTTTTCATAGTTAGTAACTGAGGCATGGCTGTGGCTGGAAAAACACAGGCCTGCCTCTCAGCCTCAGGCAGGGCTTAAACGGCCACTGTTCTCAAGTGTTTTGACTTATCCTCTGCTGCTGCTGCACTTCTGGGATTACTGCTGAAAGCAAAAATGGACGTTCACATGTTGAAATTAAAAATTTAAAGCCCAGTGATAAATCTTCATAAGCAATGGAAGCTGACCCTGGAATATGCAGGCTAAATATCCAGAAAAGGCACGGCCAAGGAAATGTTTTCATTTGTTGTAAAAGCCCAAAAGGAGGAACTTGATTGGTGACAGCATGACATTAAACCGTCCCAATGCTAAATAGACAACTGCAGTCGTTAAACATGACTGCATACAGCCATAAAAAAGGACGCAAAGTAGCCAGACGAGCTGGTTCTGCTAAAGCTAAGGCTCACTTTGAACACGCTGACACTGATCGACAAGCGGTCAGTGACCCACGTCAACACTCTGCGGTTTGGCTTTTAAATATTTCAGTGCCTTTGACTTCAAAAAGGAGAATTTAAGCAGGAATCAGTAGTGATGAAAGTAACAGATTAAGGGCAGATAACAGCAACACACAATGTGGCTAAAAACCATAAGGAAGTGTGACTGACAGATGAGGGCTAATGCCCCTGTTTAGATTGACAATACAATACAGTGGAGCAGAAGTAAAAGCAAGGGGAAGAAAATGCAGGAACAATTTATGTAAAACTTCTTCATTAGATTGAAGGAGGAAGTGTTCTTCCCCTCACGGTGCAACACATCCCCTCACACAGGACCTGCATTCTTGCTGCTGTGGCTGCACAGTTGCAAAAGTACCCTACGAGACTAATTCGAGTGCACATGTAGGCCACATGGCTGCAGGGCCAACTCATACACTTGGAGGATAAGTCAGTCTACAACTGAGCGGGGGTAACCTGGTACGTTTTTCCTCTAGGACACTTTTGTTCAACTGTGAAAGCACCAACTGTTCTTCGCTCTCACTGGATGGGCCGTTTTCTTCCTGGTAAACTGATACGACACCCACGTCCAGATCAATGTAAAGATGCTGAACAGAGAGACAGATAACAGTCGGCAGTAGCACCTGAGCAATGTAGGGGACATGTGGCACGAAAGGCACGATTACCTCTTCATACCAGGCCAGTGTCGCCTTGCAGTTCATTCCACAGCATCCTCACAATGACATCCTGTTGGTTTGTGGCAGCTCAGAAAGCTTTCTCTTTGTCCGCCTCTCTGCTACAGAGAGCACTTGTAAAAATGGCCGCTTTGTTCATGCATAACAAGAGAAATAATGATGCTCCCAAACAAGACTGTCCCAACCAAGGCTCGCAAAGGCCCGGTCACTGTAAGAGGCACAGTGCCAGGGTGTAATTACAGGGACAATAGCTGCCTAATTATCCGGTGAGGGGAAGAGCCTGGACGCCTATTAGGATGGGTGTGGGCGGCAGTAAGGGAAAACAGCCTTAATGAGCCCATACATAACCATAGGACTCTCAAAACTTAACCCACCAAGCTTATGAAGCATTAACAAAGACACGAGTGACAATGAGTGCACAACAGGGATCCTCAAAGCAAAGGTCCAATCATCCTCGCTTGCTCTCAAGCACCAAGAGAGCACACAACTCAGAGGCACTCTGACGTGTTGTAGCTCGGATTTTGGGTTGTTTTTGTGAGCAGGTGAAACAGAAGGACAAAAATAAAAAAAGAAACCAAATGTGACAGCTGTATCCGTTCCAGGAAGAGTTTTACGACAGGGTAACACAGACAACATGCAAAACAGTCCAAGGTACACTTACCTATCATGGCAGGATTCCTTCTCCTGTAAGAAAAAAGAACTTTGTTAGTGACCTCATCTTTCCAAATCAGCAGTTATACTACACGCCACATCGACACTGTCTCGCTCCACAGTCAGGACCAAGCAGAGGGTTCACAGACCTCCTGCCGCTAACAACACCACTATATCACTTTCAAAGACATTCAAATTTGAATCAGTATTTTAAGTGGTCGCTTGCATTCAAAAGCCTCTGATATTGGAGGAGAATGCCGGTGCTCTATTGAGGATCGGCTCGCTTGAATACCGCGAGCTGATGAATAGATCTCCCCATTATCTTTTTCCATCGCTCACTGACCCCTCCATTATTAGGTGACTGCTGACTGTGGTGAATAGGGGCCCGAGGAGAGCACTTCCCAGGGCTCTCCAGGCAGTGGGCTTGGTCAGAGCTGTCAGTGCATGTAACTGCTGATTCATTTGCTGTCAAAAGCTTGCATTGTGAGTGACCACTGCGGGAGGCAAGGCCGATTGAGGGAATGAAGGTTTTCCTCAAGGAAGGAATGTGCAACCATTTAATTTTTAGACTTTGCCAAAAAAGAAAAAAAAAATCTGCAGTAGATTACAGGAAATTTATGTGTGGTGATGGGGAAGAGGTTGGTGTGAAGGTTATGAAAAATCGTCTTTTTCCTGAGTAAATATGCAAACACTAAATTTACAAATACGTGGTAAAAGCTCACCTGAACTTCATCCTCAGGAAATCCATTGTCTTTAATAAGAAAAGGATGAGCACTGTGACATTCTTGTTCCACAGAAGTGATACTGTTGTCAAAAGTCTTTGATCTATGCGATCTGCTTCGCTGTTGGCCTGAGGATGACACTGGCTGATGATCGGCCTCCCCGTCAGAGAGTGGGCTCGCTGCAAGAGGTGAATCTACTCGGTGTCCTGGTGACAGGGGACTTATGGGAGATCCCGTGCTTGCAGATGATTGCTCTTCCTGAGTGCTCCCCATCCTGTGAGGCTCTCTAAAATCTATCTGAGGACGTCGGGTGCTCCTCATCCTCCTCAAGGTGGGAGATGTGGAGATACGTCCAGGAGCCTGACGGTCAAACTGAAAGAAAGGTGGAGCCGAGTTGTCTGGGTTTACCAAAGACAAATGTCTCATTTTGGAGTGTGTCCGTTTGAGATCTATGTGCATTATGACTGGGTTACTGGTCTGGCTCTCTTTGTGCTCAAAAGATGGCGAATCCGTTTGCGTCTCAGCATCCGCCACACCTGTTGTGACAACTTCATTTTCAGCCCATTCGATGTAGCTCCAGTCCAGCTTCTTTTCATTGTCCGTGTCCTTATCCTGCAGAATAACGTGCTTTAGAGAAGACATTGCAACCTCAAAGGCATTGTAGGGCTGCATAGATCAGGAAATGTGTAATCTTATAGTCTGATTTTTTTTCTCCTTCCACTCGAGCTCAGATGATAATCCTACATTCCAGTCACCGTTCACATCGCTTTACTTCTCCTGATTCTGCTGGGAAAAGATGAGAGTTAGTCATCAGAAAAAAGCAAATGAAACCAGGCACAAGCCTATATCCAAAAAATGAGTTTTAAAAGGTCAGCTGGCACTAAATAAGTCCTGAAAATACATCGTGTGTTTATATAGTTTACGATACAGATGGAGTAGCTCACATATCCAACAGCAGAGTCACAGCACAGTGTGGCAATAGAGGTCTTGGCAATGTGGCGCTAAAGAGGCCATGCACCTTGCACTACCTCTACTGACTCAGGTTACCATCTGCTCCTGCTTTTGCATATTGATGTAGCCTTTCTCCTTTTCACTATTTCGTTGTCCTAATGTACTACAACACTGCCTTTCACTGTTTACTCAAAGCCGAAAGAGCAGTTAACTCGGCACATCCACGAGCGGACAAAGGTTAAGGGAATAAAGACAAAAAAAAGTATCGATTTAACCACATCAACGATTTATCTTAATAATAAATAAACGCGTTAACGTGAAGAGTGAGGCCGCACATGCGCCGAAAGAGGGAAAAAATTAACAAGCCTGGTTTACTTTCATCCTCCGGTGCCTCGCGACCACTCGGACCGACAGCTCGCGGTGAAGGCTGACCGAGGGGAGTCCTGCTGGATGTCTGGATACAAGGCCGAATATTAAGTTATTTCTTATTTGTTCCTCCAGAGTGGAGCTCCTACTGCTGGTCCGTGTAGAGAGAAGTGAAGGAAGGAGTGGAGCGTTTCATTGTTCAGAGCTGTGAAAGGTGCGACTGCTCTGCTCTGCTCTGCTCTGCTCTGCTCTCTCTCTCTCTCTGTCTCTCTGTCTCTCTCTCTCTCTCTCTCTCCAGCCCAGTATGTCACACACAAGTTACACGAAGCCACCCGGTCAGTGTTTGCCTCACTAGTACACCTCATGTTAAATTATTGCCACCTACCTCTGTAACATGCGCAGTTCATTCAGATGCCTCAACTTTTTGGTAAGTGTAAGGATATAGACCACAACTGTGGATGTATTATTGTAAGCAAGTATCAGAAATTAATATCATATTAATTTCCATTAGAGACACTAGTTTTAGGTCTATGTATATTTAAAATAGTGTAATATTTAAAATATAATTTAGTTTGTTTTTTCTGATGCTACATTTTTTAAAACCACTGCTTTTGATAAAAACAAGTCCAGGATTTTTTTCCCCAGTCGGTGGAATAAAAATTTGTCAGCATAAAGTGCTGCTCCCAATTATGTTTATTCAGTTTAGGCTGTTAGCCTGTCACTGTCTGTGTTCCAGCATCAAATTAAGGAAAGCCTAACATTATGCAACCCACTCATTTCTTCTAGTTTCAGAAACAATCTTCATAATTTTTTTGTGTTATTACCATTATTATTTTAGTTATTAGTTAGCTTTGTATTGCACTGAATCACCATGAGGAACCAGTTATTGAAACCAGTATGAAACAGCAGTCGGTGGTGTTTATATTTAACACAGAGAAAGTGGAACAGCTGAATCACCTGTTGGTTCAATGAAGTGAACACTACGGGGCGATGCAGGGTGAATGATCTGAGCTGCATGAGCGACGTTTCCGGAGGAACTCTTTAAGATTGGGTCTTGCGCGCCCCCTGGTGTAAAAGAATGGGTAGTACATGAAACCGCCACAACTTTTCTTCCTCGTGAGCTCCTGCCACTCTTCCACTGCAGCTGATTTCCTGCTGCTGATTTAACTTTCCCAATAAAATGGGCAAATGACACTTTCATTTTAAGCCATTTCACATTCATGTGCCATAATGATCGTACATTCGGTATTGATTAAATTAAATTAAATTTAACACTATGGTCATAATAATTTTAGTCATTGTAAGAAGTTACTCTCAATAAAATAAAAGCACGGATTATTTCTAACTCTAACTCTAGGACAGCTGGATGGATCGAGTGTAATGTATCCTTTTTGAGTTGTGAATGACATAATTGTGTATGTTATTACGTTATTAGTACTGATACATAACCATGTTTTAACAGCACCATGGTGGTTTAGTTCAGTGGTTCTTAACCAAATGTAAATAGTTATGGCATAAGAAAGGGGGGACAAATGGAACAACGAGCACAAGTTTATATGATTCTTTAAAATATATATTTGACTTTTTTTGGTTAAATATTTTGTAATTTTACATTTTTATCCTCAAAGTTTGGAGGAGAAACATCTAATTAATGGAACTGATAACAAGTAAAAAGACACAAGCCAGAAAGTGTTTTGTTTTTTTTGTTTTTTAAATTTGGGAACAACTGCTTTAAAGGTGTACTTTACCCCATAATTACATGCCTATATCTTCTCTCATCTACAGTGCAGTTGATCCATCTAAATCAGTTTGGTGACAGTTGGGTTGTTTTAGAGAGAACAGCTGCAGAAATGTCTGAAATCTTCTGAATGTGATCTTTTAGATGGCTCTGACCTTGTGAAGCTCGCAGTCACAATGAAGAAACAAATGAGCAAGTTTCATACCAGGTTCTCAAAATATCTGCAGAGCTTTTTTTCCTTTCTTCTGTTTTAGTGAACATAAAAGCTCAATTAGGATAAACTATTATTATTATTATTTTTACCATCTGTCACTCTGGATGGTTTTTCTGCTGACTGATACCAGTGTAGCTTGATAGAAAAAAATAGCTCACAGTAGCATTTTTTGGAGTAGCTGGGTGGTAATTTCTACTCCCCCACTCTTTTTATAAATGCAGTTTTTGCTGCTTTTAGTTGTTTTTTTTGTGTTACCATCACCAAAAGTTATACGTAACCACAATTTTGTTGTACATGTACAATGACAATAAAGGACATTGTCATTTGGCTTTTATAAGCTCATTTGAAAAAAAAATGTGTAAAAACAAGAAGCTGCTGAAGATGCGAGTCTTTATGAGTGAAGGAACAGATACTTCAACACAAATGAGTCAAACTGTGAAGTTTTGTGAAATCACACAAAAATTGTATAGGTTACAAAAGAGTGCAGTACCATGTTTGTCCATTACAGTGCTGAGCAGTCAGAAGTTTGCACTGTGTTGAGACCAATATGAATATTTACACGGAAATGAATAGTTTTGATCAAGATAACAGAGATGACGGGTAGATCCGACAGTCTGATAGTTTGTGATTTATAATGTGGGATCTTTGTCCAGCTGCACAAACATACTCATGGCTTGTGCCCAGTTTATAATTTTAATATATTTGAATTACTTTCCCCCGTGTCTGCTATGATACATGTTTACAGGTGTCTTTCCGCACACTTATGCAAGTGCATTTCCTTGTAAAACGCCATTTAATGACTTGTGTTTTCAGTGCGCCTGCTCTGAGCAAAAACCAAAAAACTTGTCATTGAACGGAATTTGCTCACAGCCGTGACAGCGGCAGTCTCCTCCCCCTGAAGAGTGGATGTGAAGACTGCGGGTCTCTCTGACATACAGGAAGAAGTTGATTAAGTGCAAAAACACAGCGCTTTTCTCAAACTCGCCTGCTTGTTTTTCCTCTTGCGCTTTCACCTTACTCGATCGACTTTGCCGAGCGGCAGATCTGGAAGAATGACGGCGAATCTGATGGCTGATGCCAAACTGGAGGCGCTGTAACGTGTGGATTTGTTCATAAATGGAAAAGCAAGAACGAGTGTGAAACATATCTTCGGTGAAAATGCCAGAGCACAGATCCAGTTTTCTTCACATTGGAGACATTGTGTCTCTGTACGCGGAAGGCTCGGTGAATGGCTTCATCAGTACTTTGGGGTACGTTCCTCCTTTCTATCTCAATTTCTAATCACTCAAGAGTCCATGGCTTAACCCTCCCTTATGCACGCTTAAAAACTGCTTTCACTTTACATCTGGCATGAACTTCTTCAAATGTATGTTTTATGCAAATCCAACAAGTGAAAACCTAAAGTGCGACCTGCGGTCAAGGCCCATCGGCGCGTAAACGGCTCCTTCTCAGGAAATTCTTCACGTTTACGCAAATCTAACAGGAATGCAAACCAGCGTGTTGCCCAGGTACGCTTCGCGAGAGGCTGCGAGCGGATTCTTGTTACTGTGGTCACCAATATGTGGTTCAGGGGCCCAGAGAGAGGCACGAGGAGGTGTCAGGGTGACCAGATTGAGGGAAGAGTAGTTGTTCATTCATTTGACGTTAAGATAAGAAATGTCCAATGACCCTGAATGCCACTCCTCCTGTTAAATAGACCACGTCTAACAAAATAAATTGACACCGAGTGAAGCTCTAGACTACCTCTTATTTGGATGATGTTCAAATATTTATAGTGTTCACTTAAATAAAGGACTAGACTCTTCCTGTTTAGGTGAAGGAAATGAGTGTGCTCTATATGTTGCACATGCTTTGAAGTCATCTCTTTGCAGTCCATGTACTGATTGAAAACGAATCTGGTGGATTGCAAGATAAACATGAGAGGGTGCAAGGTGAATGTGGGGGCTAAAAAGAAGAAAAACGTTCTAAAGTCATATTAGATATTTAAAACCTTTTCACTGATTCCCGTTTGCTCTTGTCATTTATTGTTAATTTATTGGTGTTTATTGTGTCATTATAATGATATTCAGGATTATTTTTTTTTAAATGAGGAAACCATTGGTTTTGACTCCTTCCTATGTTGTAGCACTTGCACTCAGTAGATTACTTATCAGTTTTACTTGGTGAAAATAAAACGGCTTTTCTTTGCAAAGCAGTGCAGAAAAAGAAGAAGCTGCACACACAGTTTGTTTGGTTGTCGCCCCTCATGAGCTGAGAGCTTCAGTGCAAGGTGAAATGCCTCGATGGTTCCGGGTTACACTCTGGCCTCTGAGCCTGCTGAACGAGTGTGGAAACACTGATTGGCCCTGAGGAATGGCTCTGCCCCACCCATGTTCTCTCCTTTTCCCCCCACTCTTGTTCTCTCTCCTTTCTCCTGCTTTAAGTCGTTCCTGCCAACAGGTACCTCACATCAGATGCTCAGATAATCTGTAGAGTTTTGGAGCAAATAGAAGCCGAACTGTGTGTAACCCTTGAATGCAATGCTGTTTCCTGACTTATCATCTGCTAGTGTGAACTAAGCTGCGATATTTTATTTTTAAATGAAAAGCTTCCATAACTGTTAAGGCGTGTGGTAATGCTAAAACGAAGCGACGGCACCCTACATGGTACACAGGCTGTAAATTTCAAAAAAGCAAAAGTGCACAGCAACGATTGTTCACGCCTGCTGTTGTTGCAAAGGGAAAATAATTAAATTCTTATCAGCCTTTCTTAGAGACTTAGAGCTTTATATTGTCATTGTGCAGTTTCTTGCACAGCGAAATTGGGTAGCTGAACCACCAAGGTGCTTTCAATAGCTCACGTAGTTTGACTGGTGCCCTGAGAATTTTATCAAGGACGCTGCTGTGCCAGAGCTCACTCAGGCCCAGAGAGAAGCAGCAAGTAAAGCAAAGAGCCTTCAAGATCCTCCCAGAGCTGCAACCCCTGTCAATGCAATTAAACCTGATCTACCCAACCGTGTCCATGTTTGCATAAAATAACATCAAATCTGTTAGTTCCACACCTGTCATTGCAAACTCTCAAAAGCTGGCTAACCTCCAAGTGACATCACCAACCTGACCTTTTAAGTCTTGCAGTTTAACTGGCAGATTTCCCATATTTTAATGTGTCGTAACAATCAGTCCAGTTTGTTGCAACTAACAGTAGAAACTGATGCATAGATGCAACACCAAAAAACCCAAACATTTTCACATTCATACCTTTTTACCAAAAGTGAATTCATTGGAAGAGTCTGTTTAATCAGTATGTGTGTGACTCATTTAGAGTACCGTGGTATCAGCAAGTTGAAACATGCATTCGTGTTGAAATTGTTCACATGCATCCACTTTTCTTGCAGATGAGTCATTGTTCTGTTGCCCGTCGCTGTTCTTTAAAACATTTAACAGCAGTTACATAGACTTGCTGCTTTGCATTACATGCTCTCTATTTCGTTTTTTTGTCTGTGTTATTTTCTCAGTCGACTAAACACAAGCAATAGCTATAATTAGCTCCCCTGTGTCCAGCCTGCTAGATTTATCTTTGGTTCATGTTTAACTTGGTTACAGAGTGTCAGGCACTGTCAGAGTCTTTCTGTTTGTACTAACGCCCAGCTCTCTGCGGCCCTCCTTATTTATGAGCTTTCCCAGAGAGCCCTTCTCTTTAGCCAGTTAGCCTTGTGATAATTATTCCTGTTGGGCTCTATTGTTTCTCATTTAGATGTAACTTTGATACAGTGTTGAAGGAAGCAATACACAGCCTGTAGATTGACTGATTGACTGCCGTGACTTAAAAAGGGAAATGGCTCAGCTCTCTTTAGCAAAGCTGCCAGCTTTGTATGAATTGGAGGAATTGTGCATTGCATTATGTTTCTCCCCACCGGACGGAATGAATGGATGCACTTGTGCAACTCAAAATGTGGTGCAGAGGAGATAAATGGAATGGGATGATTATGGAGTCTTTAGAAATTCATTAGCTGGTGTCATTGCCTGCAGAAAAAATGCTAGCATTTCTCTTCGGGGAAAGTGAAAGCTGTATGCATGCTACAAATACTGCAAAAAAACCATCTTTGGTAGTGTGATAATTTCCCTTACAGGCTTACTTTACATGAATTCTTCTTGCCTCAAAAGGGCCTTTTTCTCCACATGTCTCAGTTTTGCTTCTGCAGAATGTTCTGGTGCCTTTGCCCAGCAAGAAATGGAATTTCACTTTATAGTTTTAAGGCACTATATATAAAAACAAACAATGGGCAGGATACGGATTTAGATAAAGTAACTAGTTCAGTAGTTTGGTAAGATCAAATATCAGAGTCTTCTTCCTTATGTACACAACAAGAGGCAAAGAAATTCACAGCTGGAACTTAAAGTTGCATTTTAGTCATAAAAGAAAAACCTGTAACTCCACAATCACTGAAATGTTATAAGCCTTCATTATTTAATGATGCTCTTTTTCTGTCGCTGCTTGCTTTTTTCCCACCGATTCCATAATGAGCTCTTAGCCATTAAGGTTTTTACAAGCACCTTCAACCTCAGCTCTCTCTGTGCTGGCTGCTAACAAAGGTTGCCCAAATTTTGCAGTTTAAAGACGATGTGTGCAGAAGGACACTTTTAATAAAAGGGATCACTGCTTTTGCCTGCCAAAGATCTGCTTCTGGACCAATTTAAACCAGTTTAGGACACCATAGTACATAATGAATACACTTCATGGCATCAGATAACTTTAAATGGCTGTTGATGAATGTGCATTCTTATAATTGTTCTTTCCTTAATACTTTTTTTTTTCAATCTGAACTGGGTTCTGTTTCCTTAGTTATCAGCCATCATCAACTTCATAGCTTTAACTCTGTGCTCGTCAGATGTGTCAGAAAGGCGAGTTTTGCTGACCTGCTGTGTCCCTTAACCCTTTCAGTGAAACATGTCTAGTGTGTGGCAAATAAAAGGCGAGGATATGGGGGAACAAGACAGTTAACTGGATGACACCTATTGAAAGCCCCCTCATCCACTCTGAACAGAAACCACATGGTTTCCCCAGGTGGAGGTGGCTCAGTGTGCACTTTATGAGCTACAAAAGACTTCACAGAGAGGCCTGATCTTCCGTGACCAATTCAATGTGCAGTCTCACAGCTTTATTTTAAATTATCCTGACACTATTTATTTTACAGTTTTAATCGGACCCATGTAAAAGTCATAGAAACTTTGACGTCAGTTTATTCTAGTTCTTTTATCTCAGCACAACACCACATTACCTATGTTGGTCAGGAAAGCAGAGATCAAAGCACTGCCAACGTGGATGAACCCCACCCAGAAACACATCCAGATACTGGGACTGCCTTGGATTAAATGGATGTGATGGAGAAGAGAGACAGTAAAGCTTTTCTTCCCATGGAGTGCTATAAACTGTCTATTCGAATCATGGTATTATTTGTAGTTTGAGATTCTGCCTTATGTATTTGCATGTGAGTGTGATATACCTTATAGTATATCACGCTCACAATAATAGAGTGGTTTACTGCTTATTAAAATGCTCTCAAAGGAGTTTAAGTCCGTAATAACACACCTATAGTAATCATGTTGATGCAATTTCATGTTTGTCCTTCTCTGCAGGCTTGTCGATGATAGGTGTGTTGTCCAGCCTGAAGCTGGAGACCTGAACAACCCACCCAAAAAGTTCAGAGGTGTGTAGGATTTTACTGGTCACACTGGTTTCTGGCCATACACACACACATGCGCACACACACACGTGAACTTGGACTTTTCTGAGACTGCATTATGGGTTACAAATAAGCTTTAATGTGTTGAAATGACATCAAGGCTTCAAGCTCTACATGTAGACGCTGGAGTGTCATTTTATCTGGCTCAGGTGAGTCCTGTGAGCCTCACTGCTTTTTCTTTTTTTCTCTTCTGCAGATTGCCTCTTCAAGGTATGTCCCATGAACAGATACTCGGCCCAGAAACAGTTCTGGAAGGCAAAACAAGGGAAACAAGGAAACAACAACACACAAGGAGAACTCTTTAAAAAGTTACAGGTATGAGGATTTTTAATTTTATGAGCATTTCAAAGCCTTAAAAGTTCTACAGAACTTTTTAACTTGTATGCAGTTGTTTTCTTTCTGCTTGTAATGGGGCTATTAGCAGAGAACAGACAGAAGAAACATGGCCACAGATGTAATGATATGATTACAAAACCTGACCAGAGTGTGACCTAGGATGTCCTTGTACCAAGTGCGCTTATAAACCCTGTTATTCTTGAACATGGAGTTTGCTGTGGACAGACTGTTTGTAGCAGAAAACACTAATTGGGTTTATAGTGGACAGGCCGCCCCTCCCAGTCACAGCCCTCTAGGTCACACTGTTGTTGCCCATGTAAGCAATGAAGTCCCTCAGCAGGGGTACCTTCAAGAACTCAAACCAGGGACGCCGAGAAGACCGGGTACTCTGAACCGTCGTTGGGCACATGAGCTCAAATGACAATCAGGAAGCAATTATGCATGAATTTATGCCTAATTACAGTTTAAATCAGGAATGCACCAATCCATTCTTTCCATCTAGCACAGATATCTGGACTCTGAGTGTTAAATTATTAAGCTTTATTTGTCAATGTGAGGATAAGACGCAATGTGTTATGAGTAAGCCAACATCATTATTGAGTTTAACATCACTTTACTAATTTAACTGTAAAATCCAATTATTTTTTTTTAGACCTCAGCGTGAGAGCCTCTACTGTGTTTTGCTGTCAGTTGAACTATTTTCTTTCCGTTGCTCTCTGATTCACCGCGGGGGTCTCCTCTGCTTGACCAGTGACACACGAAGCAGAGCAGAGAGGTTAAGAGAGCATACTTCAGTTTATTATGACCATCCAGCATATTTTTTTTTTAAAAATGGTAGCGTAGGGTTGGTCGTTGATCTTGTGTGGACAACCTTTCCACACACATGGCTGCCCACTGCTTCACTGAGTGAATGGGTTAAATGCAGAGAGCGATTTTCCCCACGGGGACCAATAAAGTACACTTTCTTTCTTTCTTTCTTTCTTTCCGTTTGTAAACAAAATGTGGAATGAGGAAGGATGTGTATGTAATACCTTTTTAACAATCGTCTGCTTCGTTACGCAGCATGCAGCAGAACTGGAGCAGAAGCAGAACGATTCAGAGAACAAGAAACTTCTTGGAGAAGTTGTCAAGTACAGCAGTGTTATCCAGGTAGAGATAATCTCTTAAACTATGGTGTTACACTCTGTTGTGTGCTGAGCCTACCTTTTGTTTTATTGTTTACCCAGCTTCTGTTACTGTCATCTAACCCCTGACACCTCAGGCAGGTTTCTAAAAAAACAATGCTGGTATTTGATTTCACTCATTGCTGAACTCTTACCTGCATGGTTGGATTGGGAAACCACACATTTAACTGCTGTTGTGAAAGGTACCGGCCATTGTTCCCTTACCTTAGTTAACTCGCCTTATGGATAAGCAATTTGTCTGTATTGACTCAAAGCACGGGCTAATTTAGAACCTCGTTTGTTCAGTGAATTCAGGAAATGTCTCCAAATGAAGTCAAATTAAATAACATAGTGGAGTAGCTCGTGTATCCTACAAATGAGCGGATGGCTCATTCAGTCCAGTCCTTGTACCTGAGCATTTTCAGAGCAATGTTTTTGCTTATTGTTAACACACACAGACCTATGAAGGCACCTTGTTACTTGCAGGCTCTCAAAAACACATCATTTGTCCACTTTTCTTTAGTTGAATCTAATATCAGCGTGGCGTGCAGGGTGGAGGACAAAAAGACGAGATGGCAGACCTAAAGCAGCACTGTTCTCTGACTGAAGCATCATCAGAAATTGCACCTGCAGTATACACATTTTGCCAGATGATTATTCAGATTATAACTTAGATTTGTTGAGCAAAAATGTTAAATATTTCATGGTTTTAGCATTTTCTGGGTTTTTCTTTCTTCTGAATTATATGAATAATTTTTACATACATTTTTTATGTTGTGTTTATGTTGTTTTAGTCACCTGCTGGTTGAACATAAGAATCATTTTCTCTGTGTAACTATGATGCAAACCTTGAGACCATTTCGCTGCATATCCCTGCCTGCGTTTACTTGGGAACATTTTCTTTTTTTTTCTTTTTTTCTTTTTTTTTCTCTTTTCTTCCTTCGTCCATTTGATTGACCTCTATTATAATTATGAATTTATTTTATTTTCACTTCCTACAAACGGGACAGACATGACTGGGGGATAGGACAGGGAGAAAGAATGAAAGAAAGAGAGGGAGAGAAAGAAAACCAAAGGGGAGAAGAGACGGTGAGAAGGGGGGGAAGAAAGAAAAAAAAAAAAGAAACACCTGGGTCACCTGTATGGAGAAAAAAAACAGAAGAGAAAGCAAACAACAAAGAGCAACATAATTAAAAAAACGGCACCATCACAATAAACTAGCTAGCAGTAAATATCAGTAGATACTAAGTAATAAACGATATTGTGCAGAACGCAAGATAGACAGCACACAATGTGCTTTGAGGCAGCAGCCAAGAAAGCTGTAGTCCGCGTCTGTGAATACCCGTGTGTACACCTGTGTGGATCAGCATGCTTGCATTCCAAAGGTTTCTCCATGTAACGATCTGCTACTTGGGAACATTTTCAAAGCAGGACTTTTTTCTTCACACTCATTCCCCCCCCCCCTAACAATGATGGATAAATGGTCTGAATACATCCTCCTCCACTGCTCTCCCAGTGTCTAAACTGCCTAATTTTTCTGTCTCAGCTCCTGCACATAAAGAGTAATAAGTACCTGACGGTGAATAAGCGACTCCCTGCTTTGCTTGAGAAGAATGCCATGCGGGTTTCTTTGGACCCGGCTGGAAATGAGGGCTCCTGGTTCTATATTCAGCCCTTCTGGAAGCTCCGCAGCGAAGGAGACAATGTAGGTTTCTCTCTCCTTGGCATCAGCTCTTTGTAGACATGAAGTACTGTACAAAAACTTGACATTCCCTCTGTCTAGACTGTCAGTTCATTGTTTGTCCTGTTCAAGTAACATTTCTGATTTTGTCCTTCTCCTTTGGCTTTAGCATCCTATGGTTAAAGGTATTGCTTCTGATTGTGCATGATGTGTGTACATGTGTTAGGTCTGACACAAAATACTGTGGAAAAGCATGGATGCAACACCATTTCGAATGCATGTAGACTGTCAGGTTGAGGTTAAAAATCTAGTCAGCTGGTTTGCTTTTTATCTACTGTTTGCCACTGCTGAAATATTGTCAAATACTCCAGAACAGCACAGGCCACCTGTTTCTGATACCACAGCGTGCTTGTGTGTGGATGCTTAAGAGGAGAAACAGTTGACCGCGTAGAGTCTGTTACAGCTTTCTATTTTATGAACTAGAAAGCATGTGTTAAGTAAGCAAAAGGAAGTGCACTTTTAAGTCCTCGTGTCTTTTGAATGCTGCATTCACATCCTCTGGCCATGATATGAATAAATCTGTTTGCTGTGAACGGCTCGACCACTCTCTCAAGTGAAGCCCAGCCTGTTTTGCTGCTGCACCCTTGACCAGAAAAAAAAATGGGGATGTTTGAAAAACCCTTTGCATGGATGCATTCTTACTTTCCTGTTAAGCTATTGGAAAACTGCAAGAAATTGACAAAACAGGGTCTCTTTTTGTAATTTGACTGTTCTATTGGTTTCAAGGTGGTGGTTGGAGACAAAGTGGTGCTGATGCCAGTGAACGCCGGACAGCCGCTTCACGCCAGTAACATTGAGCTTTTGGATAACCTTGGCTGCAAAGAGGTGAGACTAGTGCACTTGGATTATTTTTCATCAGCACCGGGGTATTAAAAGGAGGATGTCACATTATTACTATATCATCATAGTGATTTCGGCAGATGACTCTTATTTATCCGATTGTCTTCTACTTGTGTGCATGCCCTAGGTCAATGCTGTTAACTGCAACACCAGCTGGAAAGTCACCTTGTTCATGAAGTTTAGTGACTACAGGGACGATGTCCTAAAAGGAGTATGCTTTTTTCCCCCCCCCGTCTCCTCCCCTCTTTCTTTATATTCTTGTTAGCCATTATTTCTAATGGAACCACATTCATTATATGCGTCTTAAAATGTGTAACATGCAGTTTTCTGCTATGTAGCACTCATGTTTTTGTTTGCTGTCCTCTGTCAGGGAGACGTTGTGAGGTTGTTTCATGCTGAGCAGGAGAAGTTTCTAACCTGTGACGAGTACAAGGATCATCAGTACGTTTTTCTCAGGACCACACTGCGGCAGTCTGCCACCTCTGCTACCAGCTCCAAGGCTCTGTGGGAGATTGAGGTAAAGCATAGAACAGACTGAAATTGTGACCGTAGTATGTTTGGTGAATTCAGCCCCGGGGTAACTTGGCGGTCAGGGGGCAGTTTCTCCTTCTAAGTAACTGCCAGGCACGGCTTTAACAGAGTAAAATCCTGACTTGTAAACTGTGCTCAGCACAATTTGGATAAGCAGATATTAAAATTGCCATGAAAAAAGATCATTCAATCATGACTTTATGACATTATTTCCCCTTTATGTAAGACATGTGCTCGTCTTTAGTTCTGTATAAACCCGTCTGTTGTGCTGCATGTTCCTCTTTATCAGCTTGCAGTTAGTTGAAGTTCCTGTTGTCCCTCTGTTTGTGCCAGGATGTACTTCTCTTACTGTATCAGTGTCTGACATGTTGTTGCAACAGTCTGTGGAAAACAGAATATTCTTGTGTTCTTGCCAGTGTGTAAGAGATGACGCTGACTCATTCTGATACTGCGGTGCAGAATGATGTTGGCGTACCAAAAGCTTTAAAATCAAGGCATTTATGCCAGTGTGACTTTTAGTTCATAATCTTCCAGGTCATGTAACCGCACGGTGTTACATTCAGCGAATTAATCTCAATGCTTTTACACCAGCTGTCTTTTTTTTTTTTTTTTTTAAATGTGCATATATATGTCTAAATATATGTGCAGTACTCTAATTCACATACAAGCTGTGAGCAAGATAATTAAAGCTCCTCTCAACTGCTGGACACTGAAATACATTCTTTGGAGTGATACTGTTGAAAACATGCTAATCTCTGATAAAAAAAACAAAACTAAAGCTTCTTATTTTGTGTCCTTATGTCAGGTTGTGCACTATGACCCCTGTCGGAGCGGAGCTGGACAGTGGAACAGTCTCTTCCGCTTCAAACACCTGGCGACTGGAAATTACCTGGCAGCTGAGGTTTTTTTTTTAATGTTACCTGCTTTTAAAAATCAGCTGACATTAATAATCATATGGTGTTTATTGTTCAAGCTGAGTGCACCTGCTTTTCAGTTTTGAGTGAGCACAGCTGAAGAGGATTTTAGATGATGTGCTGTAGGTGGCAGTGTTCCCATTGTTATGCCCACTATCACCCGTGCGTTGCTGTTGAATAGATTGTTTTAGGTGTTGATGATGATAATGACTCTGTCATCAGAGCTTTCTAGATCTGAGGCCACTGACGGGTCATCTTCTCTCTGCAGGTAAACCCTGAATTCATACCCAAAACTGTGGAGACCAAAGGAGATGTGAATCAGGTAAACAAGCTGATTTACATGTATTATCACACCCCCTTGACATCAGACTGTGGCTTACTTTAATTTTGCTTATATATTCTTAATACTAAGGCACTGTCAGTATTAATGAATTTTAGAGCACGTTTAATTCTTGTTCTTTTTTCTAAATTCAACTGAAATAAGACGAGTTAATTAACACGAGAGAAACTTCAAACTGTGTTTTTAAGGTAAATGCGTTGCAACTTCAAACTTCTCTGTCTCCCCATTATTTGGTTATGCAATACCACCAGTTCCTTTCTCTCTTTCTCTCTCGCACACACACAAACTCTGCCAAACTCCAAATCTATATCTAGACATTTCTTTCAGCTCTTAGCGAGCTTGCACATTTGTATTCTGGCAATGCAAGGAGCATGCACACCAACTCTCTCAGTCTCGCACACTTTCTCATGCACATGCTGAATTTCAGACACACAGGGGGCTCCTTACATAACGTCTGGGTGTGTGGGGGTGCCCTGCGAGAGGGGATGGAGGGGAGGCAGACGTGCTGTCTGCTCTGCTCCACTCGGCTGTGCTAAGCTGGTGGGGTGAGTCACTAGCAGAGCGGAGGGGGAGGTGGAGGAGGGGAGGAGGAGAGTGGGAGGATGGAGAAGCTGAGGCATGGAGGCAGCTCCGGGGAGCTTCCCATTGACATGCAGAGAACAGTGGGAGAAATTAACCCTCACCATTATCTGCAGTATCTGCGCTCTTTAGGAGCCTAAGTACTGCAGTGTCTGACACAACACACGGAGAAGTCCCGGCTCTTTGTGTTTTCGGTGTAATTTGTACTCAATTAATCAACATTAGGTCTTATTTAGGTGTATGCATGGAAAAACACAACAACTTGACACTAGGTATGTCAGTGCAGAGCCAATACTTTCCATACTTACAATTTTATTTCAGCGTGGCTGAATATTTACTGTGCAGCCGGATGTACTGGATCTTTTTTCCATTGGGTATGCGAGTACAATTTGAATTATTGCCTTGGGATGTTGGTAGATTTGCTAGATTGCACATGAGGAGAACAACAAAAAGTTTTTTACTGCCTTCAGTGCTAAACTGTTTATCAGATCAATCAAAAGTTTTTACATGGGTGAAAAAATTGTAGAGTCAACGAAACGCTTGAATCAAACTTTCTGTTTAATCTTGTCATCCGAAGTTTTTTTTTGAGTGCAGCTACAGAAAAAACAAAAAAAAATTTTATTGAAATAATCTGAATTACTGTCATTGATTTGTTTTTTCTCATCGCTATTTTCACAAAACCAGACTACCTTTTTGCACTCGCACTTTAGGTTTTCGTTTAATTTAAGTTCCCAGTGAACTATGTTTGCAGAGGACGTGAGCTGCAGTCGGAGTATGTAGCAGGTGGAGGAATGCACTGGCGAGAAGAGGAATGAAACACATGGGTGTGAATGAGATGGGGGGAGATAAGGGAATGATAAAGATTTGAGGAGTGGAAGTAGTGAAGGTGGATTAGTTTAAATTCCTGAAATTACAGCGAACAAGAGAGGTGAAGAAGAGGGTGCGGAGGAGGGTGAAAAGGTGGAAATAAGTGTACAGGGAGATTTGTGACAGAAGGATAGTGAAAGGGAAGGTTTACAACATATAGTGAGACCTGCTATGATGTATGACTTAGAGATGTGACACTATCAAAAAAACAGGAGGCTGAGCATGAGGTAGTAGACTTAAAAATGCTAAGATTTTTTCCTCTGGTGATGAACAGGAGTAAGAGGATTAGAAATTAGTATTTTGGAGGGGCGGGTCTGGTTACAGAGGTGACGCTGAGATGAATATGGAGCTGCCAGGCAAGAGGAAAAGAGGAGGTTCATGGATGTAGTGAAGCAGGACATGCAAAGGGTTGGTGTAACAGAGGAGGATGCTAGAGATGTTGTGATATGGAGGCAAATGATCCACTGTGGCGACCCCTAAAAAAGGAGCAACTGAAAGAAGTAGTAGTAAAAGATAATGACTTTGAATGGTAGTGAAGTGTAGAAAAAAATAGGAAAGTGCAGGAAAGCAGGATAAAAATAACATTGTGATTTGATGCATGCTCAGTCATCCAGGTAGGTAAATCTCCAAAAGTTGATTCAGTTCATCCGGACGTAGCGTTTTGTGGGAGAAACGTTTCGTCACTCATCCAAGTGACTTCTTCAGATTAAGGAACTGACCTCCCAGCCCATTGTTCCTTCAGTGGGCTGGTTTCAGTCATTGTGCAAATGTACTGTTTATAAGATTGGGGGAAACCTGCAGTCAGCTGAGACTGAAGAAGTCACTTGGATGAGTGACGAAACGTTTCTCCCACAAAACGCTACGTCCAGATGAACAAAATCAACTTTTGGAGAACATCGTGAAGTCACTCAATACACTTGAGAGTTACCAGTCCCATCCAGAGCCTGTTAGCCTGTTAATTACTTTGTGTATAATGTCATTAAAAAACAGTTTTTCTTTCCTGTGCAACTCCACTGTATGTATGCAATATTACATGCGTATTACATGAGTAGCTGGAACTAGCATTAACCCAAAAAACAAGCAAACCAAAAAAACTTGAACAATTTGAGTCACTAAAAGTTTAAAACTTTTCAGTCAATTTTCTTTTAACTTTTAGACGTTTGAGCAACAAAAATAAGCATTTTGATGCAATGGTTCAGGAGGATAATTTGCACAATAACCCCGTTAACCTGTGTATTAATGAGTTGCACTCTGTACGACTTTCTTCAATTGACCCATTTGCGTAGCCGAGCTCTGCAGAGAGATTCTTTTTTTTCTCAAGTTAAACCAGCATCGACTCTGCGCTTGCTGTGCTGTGTTGAGTCTGATAGTTGAAACAGACTCTGACTGACGAGTAACTTGCCTGTGCCATATAAGCTTTTAAACTGCACACACAAATGTTTTTCTTCCTTTGTTTTTGTGGGTGTGTATGTGCGTGTGTACGCTTCAGAATGAGACCGATATTGTGTACTCGAAGAAGAAGAATCAAGCAGCAGAAAGGATTGCTTTCACCTTGGTTTCTGTTCCTCATGGGAATGACATTTCATCTCTGTTTGAGCTGGATGCCACCACTCTGCAGCGTGCCGACTGTCTCGTGCCCAGGTCAGTTATTCCCACGCGAGGCAACGCTAAAGAAAATAGGTCACAGCTTTAACTTCCACAGGAGGCTCACAGTAGCTCATGTCAGAAAATCTTCCATTTCTAATTCTAACTTCTGACCCTTTTTCTTGAGATTACTTAAATTTTGTTGTTAGTAATAATTATAGTGACTCATGGGGGATGGAGTAAAACAGCGTTATTAAAGGTTATTCCAGTTCACAATAAGTGGAACACATTCTAGGTTAATGTCTGTAAATTGTAAAAAAGAATCAATCACAAACCATTGGAGTAAAAGTTGGAATAGCTGTTAAAAAAACAGAAATTTGTAATGGGAATTTGTGACTTTCAGTATCCCAAAGTCTTGCTGCTGCTAAAAATAACAATTTAAGAATGGATGTAGGTTAATTGACTTTACTGGATGGATCACTTTTAATTATTTTACCGCAGATAAATAATTAACTGACATTCATGCTGTGAATAAATTGTCCTTCCTCAGAAACTCCTATGTAAGACTTAGACACCTGTGCACCAACACCTGGGTGACCAGCACCAACGTCCCCATTGATGCAGATGAGGAGCGTCCAGTTATGCTCAAGGTCTGAATATGGCCACACTCACACACTCGCACTAACCCTGGATAGATTACTTAACATATTTTTTTGGCTGTCACAATAGATTGGCACCTGTTCTACTAAAGAGGACAAAGAAGCGTTCGCCATTGTGTCTGTTCCCCTATCAGAGGTCAGAGACTTGGACTTTGCTAATGATGCAAACAAAGTCTTGGAGTCCACTGTGAAGAAGTGTTTCAACGCCAGTATTACCCAAAATGAGAGGAGGTATAGAAAAGCAAGCACCGCGACACACGTAACACCAGATGATGTGCGTACTTCATGTTCTGATGTAATATTTCATTCGTGCATATTTCAGGTTTGTGACTAAGCTTTTGGAGGACCTGGTTTACTTTGTGTGTGTGGTGCCAAACAACGGAGAGGACGTTCTGTCTGTGGTCACATCCACGCCCAACCGGGAGCGGCAGAAACTCATGCGGGAACAAAACATCCTTGCCCAGGTCAGGAATATGTAAACACAGGTGCTGATTGGTACTAAGTATTAAAAAAGGCCCCGGTGCAAAAGTCTACTGCAACGAATGATACAGCTAAATTACAATAAAAACATTTTGTGTTCAGTTCTTTATCAGTGCATTGTGGTTTTTGCTTGTCTAGATATTTGGCATCCTGAAGGCTTCATTTACAGATAGTGGCGACGGGCCAATGCTAAGGTTGGAGGAACTGGGAGACCAGCGCTATGCTCACTACAAGTATATGTTCAGCCTGTGCTACAGGATCCTACGCCACTCCCAACAGGACTATCGCAAGAACCAGGTATGTTGTCATGCTGTATATAAGTTGCTGTTTTTGGGTTTGAACAGCTAACCAGTGCGGGGAAAATAATAAAATCATAAAATCATGTAGCAACAAAGTCTCTGGCACTTTGTTGATTTATTTTATTTTATTTTTTTTCAGGCCAGGAAAGTTGTTCCCTGGCCTCCATACAAGCTGATATTGAGTTTTCATTGAGTTGTCATCAGGGTCATTAACAGTGTCAATAAGATGTGAGGTAGCTAAGGATAGAGGTGGCTTTTGACTGAAACCAGTATAGATTCTGCCAGATGGTCTGAAAAAATCTATTGGGGACCCCAACTGATGTGTTAATGGTCCCAATCGAAGTAGTAGGTCTCAAAAAGAAAAATACATAGCAACATTCAGTCAACAATTGTGCTATGATGATCAAAACAGCAAAATGTATGAAAACATTCCCTTCTTTAATTTTATTGCAAATCCAGTTTTTTATTTATTATTATTTATCTTAATAAAACAAAAGTCCTTTGGTGAGTCTCACCCACACACATATATACACACACACTTTTATTTCACCACGTTCTGCATTACGAGTGCTGATAAACGCATGTTTGTTTCCTCATGCAGGAATATATAGCCAAAAAATTCACAATCATGCAGTCTCAGATCGGGTATGAGATTCTGGCTGAAGACACGATCACTGCACTGGTGCACAACAACCGCAAGCTGCTGGAAAAACACATTACAGCCAGAGAGATTGAGACCTTTGTCAACCTGCTGAGGCGCAACAGAGAACCCAGGTCAGTCAAGCAGACCTCCCAAATATTAGACAACCCCAGGGAACAATTACATGGAGGGAAAAAATGCTGGAAAAGTGTTAAATTAGTTCAAATCTTTCTTCCAGCTGCTGCTTACTTACTTGATATCTTTTATTTCTTCTATTTTTATATATACTGGTTAATCTTAAATGTAAATATATATTTGAACAAACCTCGGCATTTCATGTCTGCTCTGCTTTGCACAGATTTCTGGACTATTTGTCTGATCTTTGTGTGTCCAACAAGACGGCCATCCCCATCACACAAGAGCTTATCTGTAAATTCATGCTGAATCCTTCCAATGCAGATATCCTCATCCAGACCAAGTGAGTCACACCTGGTGATTGTTATATTTTAAAATGTCCCGAACCATAAAAAAAAAAAAGAAAAATTCCAATATGTGATGCCTTTGCACACCGTGCGAGACTGCCGTTTCCTCCAGAGCATCTACCTCTTGTGAAATGTATATTTTCAGCAGCAGCAGCTCTACGTCAGTGTGTAAAGTGAGCAGTTTTTCTAGCTAATACTTAATGTCTCACTCGCTCCTTTATCCTTCCAAGACTAATCTCAAACATAGAGTCCAGCAACCTGGAGTCCTCTCTGATACAAGAAGAGGGGGGGGAGGAGGAGGAGGTTTGGCTCTATTGGATCGACAGCAACAAGGAGCCTCATGGCAAATCCATCCGCCACATGGCCCAGGATGCTAAGGCCAGCCACAAGTGTGATGCCGAGATCATTACCTACTACAGGTCTCTTTAACATTCAGTTCCACAAATGCTTGCACAGAAACCATTTTCCCCTTTTTCTGACAATTTCTTCTTCTACTCCACAGATACCAGTTAAACCTGTTTGCTAAAATGTGTCTGGACCGACAGTACCTAGCCATCAACCAGATCTCCAGTCAGCTATCTGTGGATCTGCTCCTGCGGTGCATGTATGACGACTGCCTGCCCTACAACCTCAGAGCCTCCTTTTGCCGCCTCATGTTGCATATGCATGTGGATCGTGACCCACAGGAGTCCGTGGTTCCTGTGCGCTATGCCCGCCTCTGGACCGAGATCCCCTCCAAGATCAACATTAATGAGTGAGCATCTACGTGTTGGGTTATATGTGTTTACAAGTACAATTTGTGAGTGACTACATGTAGATTTTAATGGCTTCAACAGGTTTGAGTATGAGTCAACTGACAGCTCAACGGAGGAAATGAAGAAGAAGTTTGCTCCAACTATGGAGTTTGTGGAAGAATATCTTAAGGATGTGCTAAACCAGGCTCATCCTTTTGAGGAAAAAGCTAAGAATGAACTCACATTGGAGGTAGGATAAACATAACTTCAGATATAACTTTGGCATGGTTTTTTTTTTTCATTTACTGGTTTTATTGGGTTGTTTTAATGATGGATCATGTTTGATTTCTCTTTCAGGTGGTGAACCTGGCTCGAAATCTGGTTTACTTTGGTTTTTATAGCTTTAGTGAGTTGCTGCGCCTCACGCGCACTCTGCTGTCCATCTTGGATTTTGTCCAGTACCCGGCCAGCCCCTTGAACAAGCTCAGCAAAGGCCCAGAGGCTGGCGGTTAGTGCAGTTATGTGTTTAAATTACTGTATGTGTGTCTTTGAATTTTTTTTTTTAAATCTAAATTTAAAAAATGCAGAGAACAGAGGAAATGACAGATCTGCTCATGCAATGCAGATAGAATTTAAACAAAAATTAAAACTTTTAAGATTGGTGAACAGACTGGTAGATACAAATGGTGTTGAGGTTTAATGACATGAAAACACTAACTATATATTAACTTTTCTTCAGCTGGAGAAACATCTGGGTCATCTACGATGCTGTGAAAAAGTTTTTGCCCCTTTCCTTTTTTCATAGGTTTTCAGAATATCTGTCACCCCTTATATTTTAAATAACTTGTAAAATCACACAAAGATAACCAGTTTAAATAGAAAATGCAGTTTTTAAATTATGATTTTAATTAACTGAGGGGAGAAAAAGATATCCAAACCCACCTGCCCTGTGTGAAAAAGCAATTGCCACCTAAGCCTAATAACTGGTTTTGCCACTCTTTGCAACAAGAGCTGCAATCAAGTGTTTGCGATACCTGCCAAAAAAAAAGTGGTTTATCACAGTTAATTCATGATTCATGATTTGTCATTAATGTGACTATATGTGAAAAAGTAATTCATTTATTATTCATTACTTTTTCACATGGGGCAGGTAGGTTTGGATAGCTTAAAGTTTTATGATGTGAAATGTGACAAATATGCTGAAAACACTAAGAAATCAAGAAGAGGCAAATACCTTTTCATAGCTGTGTAGCATTTTGTTTCTCTTGACTTTCCTAGCTTTTAATGAACGTAATCTAACTTCAATAGACTTGACACACACAAACACATAATGAGACATGTATAAATCTTATTTTCTTTAGGCAACAATGTCCTGCGAACGATCCACGGTGTTGGTGAAATGATGACTCAGATGGTGATGAGTCGAGGTGTGCCACACATCCTCCCTGACTCTTCTCCTTCTCTACGCTATGGGAAGGTGCTCTTCCTGCCTGAAAATGAGGATTTGATGGTGATGGACACAAAACTAAAGATCATCGAGATCCTGCAAGTCAGTGGCACTTCTATATGTTCTGCTTACCATCACTGCTGCATTTTCTTTTTCCAGTGCTTGACACTTTTTTTGTGAACTTTGGTTTTTTCTGACAGTTCATCTTGAGTGTGAGGTTGGATTACAGGATCACATACTTACTGTCGATCTACAAGAAAGCGTTTGGGGACAGGGCCTTAACTGACAGCTCGATGTCTTTGGCCGATGTGCCTCCAATAACACGTGAGACTTTCCTCTCTTACCGTGCAAATGCAGAAAAGTTATTTATTACATTATCCTGTGTTAATTACTGCAGTCTGCTCACGTGACTTTTTCTTTCATTTTATTTTTGTCTTCAGCTTGTGAACCTGACATAGATGAGATTGTACAAAAAGCAGAGAGCATGTTTGTAGAAAGGTAGGTGAACATGTGCCTATTTATTGACTCCGCGTGATTTGTTGGGGCGTTTATGCCTTTATTAGATTGACAGTAGAGACGGACAGGAAATGTATGCCAGTGTTTTTTAATATGCTTTCAAACATTCAGATAAAGCAAATAAAAATTTAAATATGCACAGCTCTGACTTCAGCTCTGAGTGGAGCGCGGTGGAGCTGGACGGTGAGGATGGCCGGACATTTTTGAGGGTTCTGATCTATCTCATCATGCAAGATTACCCCCCACTGGTATCTGGGTCTCTGCAGCTCCTCTTTAAACACTTCAGTCAGAGATCTGAGGTGCTGGAAGCCTTCAAACAGGTAACAACAAAGCAGTTGCACTTTCTGAGTTAAGTGATTATTTTTTTCAGTACTGGTTGATGTAATCAGTTTGGAGGAGGAGTGTTCTCTAAAGAGCCAACAGCTCTAAAATGCATCACTAAGAGATTCCTCAGATGAAAAAAAAAACTGCCTCAGAGCCAGTTTGACTCCAAAGTGGTACACAGAGACTTATTAGAAGATAGCAATTTCTTTTGGTTATACATATTTTAGGAATATCCCTGACTGACTCTTCATTGTGCGCGTGCGTGTCTTAGGTGCAGCTGCTCGTGTCAGAGCAGGATGTAGAGAACTACAAGCAGATCAAGTCGGATCTGGACCAGCTGCGTCTGACCGTTGAGAAGTCAGAGCTGTGGGTGGAGAAGAGTGTAGTCTACACCGGTGAAGAACTTGCTGCCAAGATGGCCAAAGAGCCAAACACTGAGGTGCTGTGCTCGTATTTAAAAGTAAAGCATCTAGAAGCAACATCTAAAAGTAACGTTTTAGAATTGGATATGACATTTTCAGCTCTCTCAGAAATTACTGTTTGTGTTAAATGGGCCATCAGTAATTCTTCTGCACTGTAAATGGTTTCGATGATTGTTGTTTTTTCTTCACAGCTAATGAAAAAGTCCAACTGTTCTGTTAGCTTAATTAGTAAAAAATGTCTGACTTCACAGGGAACTGCATTTAGGCACTTGTGTGTGACAAATTTTTATTTTTACTGTTATTTTTAGAGCATCTCCGTGAGTGCTGGAAGTCTTTGAACACACTTTAATAACTCACTGAGATGGGATAAGATTGTTTCATATTAAAATCAGACCTGTTTTAAAGTGGACATTGAGCACAACTGTTTTCACATGTCTCGTGTCTCTCTCAGGAGGCTGTTCTGAGCCCAGTGCAGGATGGGGAAAGTAAACCTCAGATCGACAGTAACAAGGCAAACAACTATAAAATAGTAAAAGAGGTGCGCTGCACATCCTTATCTCAAGTGTGTTCCTGTAAAATGTCTGTTGGGCTCTTGTGCATCTGAGAAAAAAATTTGTGGGTCTCATCTATAGATCCTGCTGCGGCTCAGTAAGCTGTGTTACGGCAACAAGAAGAGTCGCGTGCAGCAGCAGAGGCTGCTGAAGAACATGGGAGCTCATACAGTGGTGCTGGACCTGCTGCAGATCCCTTATGAGAAGGTAAGCCGTGTACACAACAGCCAGTTCAATGATTTTCTGCTTCAGTCTGTGTGCAACATAGTTACTGGATGTCTTCCTGATTCTCTAATCATCTTTTATTTCCCCGGTGCCATGTTCTCACAGAGTGATGACAAGATGAATGACATCATGACCCTGGCACATACATTTCTCCAAAACTTTTGCAAAGGAAACCATCAGAATCAAGTTCTCCTACATAAACAGCTGAACCTCTTCCTCACTCCAGGGGTGTGTAGACATGACTATGCTCCACTTTTTCTCATGCTGGCATACCTTTGGGTGTCCTCTTTCTAGTAGTGCGACAGCCGTATGGTTTCTTTTGATGAATGATTCAGTGTGCCGTTTAAGTGAACGTTATCATCTTCACAACTCCTGCTTTTCTCCAGCTGCTGGAAGCTGAGACGATGCGCCACATCTTTATGAACAACTACCAGCTGTGCAATGAGATCAGTGAGCGGGTGGTCCATCATTTTGTCCACTGCATCGAAACGCACGGAAGACATGTTCAGTACCTCAAGTTTTTGCAAACCATTGTGAAGGCTGATACAAAATATGTAAAGAAATGTCAGGACAAAGTCATGACAGAGGTTTGTTTTTATTGTTTGTTTTTTGTGTGAAAAATGGGAAAAAATTATCTTATGAACAGGAAACACTCATGTGGAAGTTCTCCAAATCAGTTATCATGTATTTTTCTTAATAACTGCAGCCACTCATCTAACTGGTTATTTAAATTTAACATGTGACAGATTGTTATTACTAATCATAACATTTCATGTTTGGTTTTCACTGAACTTGAGAAGATGAGAATACTTGCGCACTACACAAAGAATCAATTATAAATTGAAAGGCTTTTTTTGATGCTTACTTTTAAATGAATGCCGGTGTGCGAGACTCTTCCTTAAACCTTTCTTCTTCTTGGGTTCTCTGTTTGCGTTTTCCAGCTGGTGAACGCTGGTGAGGACGTGCTGGTGTTCTACAACGACCGCTCGTCTTTCCAGGTGTTGTTGCAAATGATGGGCTCTGAGCGGGAGCGGGCCGATGAGTATGGAGCTCTGGCGTATCATAACACACTCGTGGAGCTGCTGGCTGCCTGTACCGAGGGAAAGAACGTCTACACTGAGCTGAAATGCAATTCCCTGCTGCCGCTGGATGACATTGTTAAAGTTGTCACTGATGTGAATTGCATACCAGAGGTAGTGACCAGATAGTTTTACGACACAATAAGAATACACATTGAGGTGTAGGGTAAAGATAAATAATATCGCCATCCTTCTGTAAAGACATTTTTGGTTATATTTCAGTGCTGTGTGCCTTCAAAAACTAATTGGGCATTGCTTTTTCTAATTTCTCGCCCTAAGGTCAAAACTGCTTATGTGAACTTTGTGAATCACTGCTATGTGGACACAGAGGTCGAAATGAAGGAGATCTACACCTCCTCCCATATCTGGAAGCTCTTTGATAATTTCCTGGTGGACATGGCCAGTGTAAGTCAGGTTCATTCACCTCTTTTTCTTTCCTTATGAGCCTGTGTATGTGTCAAGACTATTGCATAGGAAATGATAATAGACATATTCCTCTTCATGATTTTTGTAATTTAGGTGTGCAACACTACAACGGAGCGTAGCCATGCAGATCTAGCCCTGGAGAAGTATGTGACGGAGACGGTGATGGCCATTGTCAAGGGTTTCTTCAGCTCTCAGTTCTCTGTTAATCACTCTAACCTACAGGTATCTCTTCACCCCTGACAAGCATGCAAATGTCATGGATTTGGATAACTTTATGGTGAACATATTTAATAAAGATTGAGTTATTTTTTTAGCAGTAATGACCTCAGAGACATTCAATTTTCAAGTCATGCCATCTGATTGTTCCTCTGTATTTCCCTGTGGTTATGCCTTTTTAAGTTAAAGCATGCTGCTATTTCTTCTTCTTCTTCTTGTTCTTCTTCTTCTTCTTCTTCTTCTTCTTCTTCTTCTTCTTCTTCTTCTTCTTCTTTTATTTAACATGTAGACAAACCAGTCTATCTTCATCAAGCTCCTCCAGTCAGCCTTCCGGATTTACAACTGCACATGGCTCAACTCAGCTCAGAAGGCTAATATTGAGAGTTGTATCAAAACACTGTCCGATGTGGGTGAGTGATGCAACTTTGCTCTTCAGCCTCGATAGGAGATGGTTTCATTACTTCACATTCACTGTGTATTTAAAAAGTTTTAATCCATATCTTACAGTGCATATGCTGATCTGAATTTTTACCAATATTTATTGCTGTAATGTTGCTTTTCAATTGTCCTTTATTTTACTTATTATATGACATTATCGTGTGCAGCACAGTTCCATTGTCCTTTGCTGGATCAGCCAAAGTTAGGCTTTGGTTGCATTTGAGGTTGAAACATATTTGAAAAAGAGATCTTTCACAACACCTCCACGCAGTCCTATAAAAAAACTAAGTACACCCTGTGACTCAGTAGCTTGAGGAACCGCTTTTAGCAGCTATACCTTGAAGTAACTAGTTTCTGTATGACTTTAACAATCTCTGACATCATTGTGGAAGAATTTTGCCCCGTTTTTTTTTTTTTTTTTACAGTGTTGCTTCACTCCATTGACGTTTGCAAGCAGTACTTGGTGTGTGCTTAGTTTTCCATAGGGCTGCATAGAGTCCTGTGAAAGCCTCCCTTTTCACATGACTGTAAAGTTAAGCTCACGATGACATCTCCTACATGTTCTACGTGTTCTTTTTTTCAGCTAAGGCACGGTCCATAGCCATCCCTGTTGATCTGGACAGCCAGGTCAACACTTTGTCTCTCAAGTTCCATAGTAATATGGTGCAGCGGGCAGCTAAAGATTGGAGGATCTCTGCACGTACAAGACCTCGCAAGGAGCCACTGGGTGGGCCTGACTATAAGAACATCATAGAGAAACTGCAGGTGAACCTTTATTCTAACACTGGGAGTCTACATCTATGCTAGCAGCTCTGACACTGCAGTGCTTTGAGTCTATGATAATGTGCAACATGCTCAAGAAGGAATATTAGGCAAATGAACATTTTGATCTAACGACTGTGCTAAGCTGTTAGAATTTATCCTCTGGTTATGTAGAAAGTTTCAATAGTCACAGTAGTGGCCTGACAAACTGACACTGCCATCCCTTAAAATTACGTAATGTATGAACATGCATGCTCATCAGCACTACAGTCTGCTACAGCATTTTTAATGCATCTGTTGTGTTGTGCAGGGGGTTGTGTCCCATCTGGAGGAGCAGTTCAGTCCAAAGGTTCAAGCAGAGTTTTCTGTGCTGGTGGATGTTCTGCACAGCCCAGAACTGCTGTTTCCAGAGCCTGCTCGTTTACGCTGTGAGGGTGGAGCTTTTATGTCCAAGTAAGCAGCTCTCTATAAACTGTCCTTAAAACAAAGACAGCCCACAGGCCACATTTTAAAGCAGCATGACTAAGTTAGTATTTGGAGTTACAGTGGGGCAAAAAAGTATTTAGTCAGCCACCGATTGTGCAAGTTCCCTCACTTAAAATGATGACAGAGGTCAGTAATTTGCACCAGAGGTACACTTCAACTGTGAGAGACAGAATGTGAAAGAAAAATCCATGAATCCACATGGTAGG